TTTCGAGATTATACTAAATTGTTTTATATTTCTTTTGGCATAGTTAAATAAAAGTTATGGCGGACAATACCGACAGAGAGAGAGAACAGACCATGTTCGATATCATACGCGGGCCAGATGATGATCAGAATGAAGAAGATTTTGACGGCTCCGAATTTCTAAACAACACCGGAGAGGGTGATATGATATTCGATCGCGACGACCGAGAAGATGAAGTCATGAACTACGACGAAGAACATGTTGATCCTGAAACAACAAACACTGGCGAGGTATATATATTTATATAAGCAGGAATCTGGTGATCATCGCATGTTTTAAATGAGTTGAAGATATATCAACGAATCGATCTTTCTTGTTTCAGCCATCCGGATCGAGCAAATCTTCAGGCAAAAGGACGAAACGAGGCCCGAACAAAAAGTTGAAGGAGGGCGTAAAGTACAATATCGAGGCATTCAAACCTAATGGCGAACCATTAGCGCCTAAGAAGATTGCGGACAAGTTCGTTCGTCAGTGCGGAGTTCTTGTGAAGGACCAACTCCCGATCTCCCTTCAAGAATGGAGAAAGCCAGCAAATCCACGTCCAGATGTTACTTTTGTCGACGAGAATCAAAAAAATCTGCTTTGGGATACTCTCATGGAACATTTCACCCTACCAGATCATTTCACAGAAGCAGATGTGCGGAAAGTCAAGAATGCTGCTTTTAGGAAGATGGCGGTTGCATTCAAGAACCACAAGAGAATGACGTGGGAGAAGTACGTCAAGGGAGGAAGGAAGACTCCAGTATTCGAGGGGATACTAGAGAATCAAAGTGCTCATTGGGACGATTTCGTGAAATTCAAGGATTCAGAATTAGCTAAGGAACGGTCGAGAATAAACAAGAAGAATGCCGAAAAAAAGGATAAGTTCCATAAGCTGGGGCCAGGTGGCTACGCGGTGGCAATGCCTAAGTGGGATAAGTCTGAGAAAGAGATGGAGGATGCAAGTGTAACTCCGGTTACTAAGAGCTGGCCCCCCAGGTGCAGGACTTGGTTCTATGCGCATGGGGGGGGGAGTTGGACCCGAAGACAGGCAATGTTTCGACGAAGGCATGTCTGAACGGAGCCGACGATGCGCTACTTGTTGCAATAGAAGAGGTTCGATCGGGGGTGTTCCAGCCCAACAGAGAGAACGACGAGCTTACGCGTGCCCTGGGAAATCCTGAACACCCGGGAAGAACACGAGGCAAGGGCGCTATTCCATGGTATGAGGGGTTTTCGGACTGGAACGCCGACTACAGAACCCGTGCAAGAAAGAAGATTGCGGAGGAGAAGAAGAGGAAGATGGAGGAGGAGCAGAGGAAGCGGGACTATGAACGCCTTCAAGGACTAGAAGCAAGTCAAGCGGAATTGGCAGCTAAATTCCAGCGGCAGCAGGAGCAGATCGACTCACTTAGCCAGCAAAGGGGGTCTCAGCAGCTGCAGCAGCTAGCGGATGATCCAGCATTGGATACCACCGCCCCATCCATGCCGAGAAGCAGCGTGGGTTCCGCCCCAGGCGACGCAGTAGTGCTGGATAGATACCCCGTGGATGACATCACGGAGAACACTAACTGCGAGCTACACTTCAAAATGAAGAACATATCCATGAAGGTGGCGGACGCCATTGGTTTTTCAAATTCCCCCGAGGCAACCTTCCATTGCAACGCGATTCCAGCGGGCTATGCTCGTGTCTTGGTTGATGAGGTGGTGGCCCCTTATTCGGAGCTACAGCTTGACATTCCTGGAGGTGACGACGAGCACACATTGGGAGAGGCCATACATCGTGTCATCCTATGGAGAAAGGATTGCATCATCTTTCGAAGGCCACCGACACCGTGTCACCCGACTCCTCGTCGAAGTCCGTCACCGAGTCAGCAGACTCCCGCTCCTCCAAGTCCACCAACGCGTGAGGCCACTCCTCCTCCTCCAAGTCCGGCAAAGTGTCAGGCCACTCCTCCTCCAAGTCCGACACAGCGTCAAACGTCCACTCCTCATCCAACTCAGCCCCGTCAGCCGTCTCCGCCGCCTCAGCAATCGCAGAAGAGACACCCCGCAGCTATGGTGTGTAGCGGTACGAGTCGAGGTGATAGTACAGGAAGTACAGGCGGAGGCAAGCGATATAAATATGGTCCAAACATCAGTACTCCTCTTCCTGTGAGGGCTTACGACAGGACCGAGGAGCAAACCAATGCCATAGTGCGGGCAGAAGTCGACGCCCATTTTGGACCGAAACCGCCACCGCCGCCAAAGGAGAAAGTGCCTGTGGAAGTAGTTGACCACTTCATTCGTATGGCTCAACCACCAGCTCCTAAGCCTGTTGACTCAGACTATGAGCGCCACATCAGGAAGTTACATCGACAACGTCTACAGAAGGAGGCGAGCTCGAGCTCGAGCAAACAACAAGCAGCTGTCAAAAAATGCGGGAAAACCGTTGCCCAGCTGGGAAAACAGGCGGCGCAATCGATCCCCCCGCTTGTTGTGCCGCCAACAACACGTGACAGTACGCGCGCCCAATATTATTGTGGCCAAACGGTTTACGTTCCCGAGGTGGGCGATGTGGTAATAACCCAGGAGCATATAATGCAGGCTGAAGAACTCAAGATCACTGTTGGACAACTCCTCGAGATCGTGGACATGCCTCCGATTAGAGAAGAGCAAATAAAATGGAAATTTGTCCGGGGCCAACCTTTGGTCGAGCCAGAAGATGTCAAGAAGCTCCCAACGAGAATATATGAATTGCATCAATGGTACATGGACATTAGCAAGAGATCCGATCAAGAGTCCCTCATGGTGTATGTCAAGAAGGATGATTACTACCATGAGAAAGCTGTGGCCGTTGAGTATTCTGAACTGTTTCAGTTATACAATCAAGATGCACTCGACAAATCTATCGTCGGTTGCTATTGTCTGTAAGTGATTTATTTTTGTAATTTAAGTCTCAAGCTAGCTGTAGTGATCCTTTTGATCAATCATTACGTGTAATTATCTTCACTATATTCTTTTCTGTGGTATTATGCAGGATGAAGATGTCTGAAATGAGAAAAGGTGGACGCTATGGCATTGGGTTCATTGACCCAAACACCGTTAATGAATACACATGGAAATTAGATGCATATTATGAAAAAGAGGTAGAGGACAGCATGCTAGAGTTCTTCAAGCGCCTCAAATACAATGAAGATATACTACTTCCTTACAATTTCGAGTGAGTCACACTTTCTTGTACTACAAATTCTCTGTTTTTGCCTACTAGCTAGCTACATGTTTTTGCTTACATATGTCCGCTTAATTAAGACATGCAAACGTGTGTGCATGCAGATTTCACTGGATCTTGTGTATCATTAAAGTTGACGCCGGAACAGTTGAAATACTGGACTCGCTACTCAAAGAAAATACTGACTATAACATCTTGTTTGGGATAGTCAACAGGTAATTTCAATCATTATTAACTATATATCTCGGCCTATTTAGTTCTTCATTTCATGATATGAACTATTTAATAACCCCTTTATTCATTTTCTTCGTCGGCGGGTAGGGCTTGGGCAAGGTTCATCAGCGTCACTCCAGGCGAATGGAAACAAAAGCTGAAATGGTTTCGAGCCAAGGTAAGTAATTAAGTAGTACTAGCTAGCTAGCTGCCATCTCTTTAATTATCATGCTTGATTAATTATTATCTGATCAATTAAATTCCATTCTCGTAATAAAGGCCCTGAAGCAGGCGCCGGGGACTGATCTGTGTGCATACTGCGTTTGCGAGAACATTCGCATGATGGCGTCCGAAAGGAGCAGATCTCAAAGACAGGAATGGGTACGTTTGTCAGAACAATATTCACAATTTTTACACCATTATCGATATCTAGTCACACAACTAATACACATGCATATTGATCTCCTTCTTAACAGTTCAAAGAGGTGCGGCACAAGCTCCTACCAACGAAGCGCGTAGAAGCACTTCAATAGGAAATAGCGGGATTTTTGCTCGACCAGGTCATAAATCCGAAGTGAGAATACTATTACCCGCTACCGCCCCCATCGAAAAAGACATGAATCACTTTCAATTTTCATCGTGCTCCGAAGGCACCAATCAGGCTAATGCCACTGGCTCCGAAGACAACATGCATATGTAGGAGAAATTATATATAGCTATACATGTGTGTATGTGTGAATTAATATGGTGGTTTGTGAGACATGATTGATGATATATATGATTGGTTCTACTAAAAATTCTATATATATATATATATATATATATATATATATATATGCATAACGTGTACAATGTGTAGTACCGTAAAATACCAGCAAACGAAAAAGAATTAAAATGGAAAACACAAAATTAAATAAAAAAGAAATCATAAAACCAAAAACCCCCCAACATTTTAGTACCGGTTGGTGTTACCAACCGGTACTAAAGGGCTCCCGGCCCCCGGAGCTGGCTCGTGCCACGTGGTTGCCTTTTACCATCGGTTCGTGCTGAACCGGTACTAAAGGGGGGGGCTTTAGTGCCGAAATTTTAGTACCGGTTACCTAACCGGCACTAAAGGGCCTTATGAACCGGTGCTATTACCCGGTTCTGCACTACTGCTTCGAATACAGTGAAACTCGAACAGCCAATAAATCATAAACCTCTTTGACCCTTGGCATTAGTGAATATCTGTGGATAAACAGTGCCTAGTCTTAGGTGGAGAATCAAATTTTGGTTCTGTTTACAACTGCAACTTCGGGTTGGTGCCTCTGGCTGCTTAATGGACGGTACCTAGTCTCTTAGATCGTCCTCATGGGTTTGTTTGTCACAGTGGATTTGGTGGTATCCTTTATCTCCACTCGAGGTGTTTTTTTCAGAGTACCTTTTCGATTCTGTGGCGTTTGTGAGTAGTCCGCATATGATTGGTCTGTATCGGTTTTCTCTTAATTAAGACAATTCTTTTTTTCCTAATTATTAATTGATGAGGCAAAATAATTACATAGTTAAACTAGCTAGCAAGCTAAGGAACAAACCAACTAGGCCTAGTTAAGCAGTCCGGAGGACCATCATCCTCCGGTGACCTGTAGACGCATTCCAGCTTCTTATCCTGCATGCTGTAGCAGTATGCTGCGACGGCAGAAACCTTCTTCTTGTCATGGACGTAGTAGATCCGAGTTCCGCCCTCGTTGGCGCCGTCATTATCCCTGAAGGTTGCGTGGTACCTATCGACGAACAATTCGTAGTTACCAGCCTCGGCCACCTTGCGCCACGCGAGCTGCCCGTCAGGCGCCGGAGAAGAGCCTAGCTCGAAGAGGTCGAAGGCCACCGGCCGGGACGACTTGACGGTGGTCCTTACCACGACCAGGACCAGCTTGCTCGGCAACGCGACGAGGTGGACGTAATCCAACTCTTGCTTCCGAGGGCAGATGGAGCCGTACATCTTGCTGCTGAGGTTGGGCATGTCTGGCGGACGCGGGACCAACTGTAGGGCGCCGAGCGTGGCGGCGTCGAACACCGCCATCTCGCCGTTGATGTCCATGCCGAACATCTTCCCGTCATGGTAGACGAAGTCGAAGTAGCCGTAGCCATGCGGCGGGGCTTCTCCAGCTTGGTCCATGCCGCGTCGCCGGGGCGGCAGAAGAGCATGCCCGTGTGCCCGTGCATCACGTGGTACATCATGACCGTCGCCGGCGCCGGGGCGCCGGGCGGGAGGTGGACGGCGAAGCGCAAGTAGTCCGTCAACTCGAGGTAGGTCGGGAAGGTCCAGTTGCTGCACAGCGCCGTGTCCAGGTCGTTGCAGTGCACGTACCTTACGTGCCGGACGACGTCGCTGCCTGGGCCGTCGCGGACGGCGTTGAGCTTGGGCAGGGCCACCCTGGCGCGGGTGGCCAGGTGCGAGACGTGGCAGGAGGCGTCGCGGGTGTCGACGACGAGGGACCAGCCGCGGGACAAGGGGAAGACAGCCGTGTGGGAGGCGCGGACACGGGGGAGCAGGAGGCGCGGCGCTGGCCCTGCCGCGGCGCGCCATGCCCGGCACACGGAGCGGAACGCGGCGAGCCCGGTGACGGCGTCGCGGGACCTCCGCGCGATGATCGTCACTAGATCGGAGGGGAGGTCCAACCAGTCGGGCTGCTCCTCCTGGCTAGCCATTGCACGTACGTGCGCTGTCGATGGGCTGGGCGAACCGAAGGTTTGACTTTGTTGATCCTTTTATGAGGAGCCTCGGCAACAACGATACAATCGTAACTAACTTTCTTTATTTAAAATAAACAGAGTATAAAAGACTCGGTCGACCGTACGACGTGGGATCGTGGCGGTTTGACCATCTACAGCCAGGTCTCTCGTGCCCGTCTCAAACACCCAGACCGATCACAAAAATTCAACCCAACAGAATCTCTCAAACGACCGAATTAACCAACACCCTTTATATCCAGCACAAATATAGGGCAATCTGAGCATTGTCCGGACGTGTCCGCCTGACAGGTCCGGCCCACCACGGACCAACAAAACACCCCTATCTTGGCGGCGAGCTCAAACCCCAGCTCACTCTTTCGCTCCGTCCGTCCACTCGTCTCCCACTCCGGTTTCCGATGCCATCCACCACCATGAGCAGCTTCGGCAACGACTCTGGCTCAGAGCTCAACTACGAGGAGGAGATGGCCCTCCGCATTGCGTTCGAGCGGTCCAAAGTAGAGACCGGCAGCAGCTTTGGATCTGGAGCGTCGCCGCACCTCCCGGGCCGGTGCAGCGCGGACGCCGAAGCTGGACCCTCCTGGCCCACGCGCAGCGACGCCCGGTCAGCACAGTCCGCACCGGTCCCGCGTCATCTCCTTCCCCCGTCGGCCGCCCCTCCACGGGCCAACGCTGGGTGCTTGTGACCGTGCCTCCGGCCTGCACGCGCACTCCGGAGTCCGAGGCGCGCGCCGCGCGCCGCGAGAGGCAGCGTGCACGGGAGAAGGAGGCGGTGGAGCAGTCCATGCGCCGTCGCCGCGGGACGGAGGCGGACGCCGACGAGGACGCGCGTCTCCTCGCCTGGGTTTATCGTCGCTCCCTCACGACGGCGGAGACGGACACTCGCCGTCTCCGACGGAAGAACGCGAAGGCGCTCCAGCTAGGCATTGATGTTGGAAATATGAGCAAGTTACTACAAGATTTAATCCGAATAATTAGAAGATAAATCATGACTACAGTAGCCGAGATTAAACTAATCATGCGAACTAGCATAGCAAATGAGCAGATCACATCTAGGGCACATACTAGAAACATGAATTCTACCACGATCTTGAACAGGAAGGATAGAATCATATACGGTGTAGCGGGAGTAGCACCGCCGGCGTTGACGTTGTCGCCCATGTCGTCGAGGATGAGGTTGCCGAGGTCGGGGAAGAAGTCGTTGTTCGCAAAATCGTCGCTGCCAGCAGTCGCGCGAGTGCGCTCCCCAAAAACCTGATCGCCCCTCTCCCGTACAGGATCACGAGAGGCGGGGTTCCGGAGGCCTGCTATCCCTTCTCCCGGTGCACGCCAAAAGGAGGGATGGAGAAGACTTGTTTGGTGGCGCAATGATCTGGAACGGTGGTGAGAAACCATACGAAGCGGCGGCGGCTAGGGTAGACGTCAGCCTGACTATATAGTGCGGGCCGGGTCACGATACAAAAGAATCGGAAACGGTTCAGTAATTAACGCGTCTGTTAATTATTAATTAATGACTCATTAATTTTCCCGAGCAGCAAAAATATAGACAACGTGCATAGCTCTGTCCTCGGCTCGGCTCAATCCCGCGGCGTGGCGATGCGAGCGAGAAGGAGGAGCGCGCGTGTAGGTCTCCTCTTCTCATGCTCATACAAGTGATAGAAGAGCTCACCTTATAAAGAGGTGCAACTCTCTCTCAATTTTCGGGGTGAGACTAAACATTAGCCTCACTCACTCCACTCACATGTGTGCATGAATGGGCCAAGAGAATTTTAGAATTTTAGTTGGGCTTTGGGCCAAAGGCCTACTAGCAAAATTCCAACAATCCCCCACAAAGTCTCATTGGCACATCTCATCATTTAGTTCCAAAACATTGTTTATATACCGGTGCTTAGTGGAGACTGTGAAGTTGAACTTCCACTTAGAGATTTTTGCTACACTAGATCACAACTTGAAGTGGACTATGCCTTGAACTACAAGTTTTCTGCGAGACTAGTTTCACACAAATTCTTGACCGATACTGGGCTGTCGCAAGGCTTCCCCGCGGGTGAAGCGTATACGTCATACTCCAGGGCCTTTTCATGAATTTATTAGAGAACACCCAATTATCACAGACTGCGATGTTAACAGTCAAATTCATATAGGTGTGTTCCTCAGAAGATGCCCTGTAGGACAACATCTCTGCTTACCCGAATAAGCCACTTGGAATACATTAAGATAAGTATCAACCTGCCATGCAGATCAGGAGAGTATTGCATCTTCATGGAGTGGGATAGGTAATATAGGGATACTCTCCTCCCAGCTGACCAACAGCTTGTCTCCCACTTCTACTTCACGGGATCTCCGATCACATAGAGTGGGTTACCACTATGGACAACTCATGCGGTGGGTCTCAGACCCATCTCCATCGATGCATTATCGATCACATTACGTGATAGAGCCTTTGTGAAGGGATCTGTCAAATTTTTCGACGTTTGGATATAATCCGACGTAATAACTCCGGAGTTTCTTAATTTTCTGACAGATTTCAGTCTCCTCTTCACATGCCTTGAGGACTTCATATTGTCCTTTGAACTGTTTATTTTGACGATCACAGTTTGATTATCACAGTTCATCAGGATAGGGGGTATTGGTTTTTCAACCATATGTAAGTCCATCAAGAGTTCACGAAGCCACTCTGCTTCAACAGTGGCAGTGTCTAATGCTGTGAGTTCTACTTCCATAGTTGACCTCGTTAAGATGGTATGCTTGCAAGACTTCCAGGAAACAACGCCACCACCAAGTGTAAAAACGTAACCACTTGTGGCCTTAATCTCATCAGCATCAGATATCCAGTTTGAGTCACTATAACCCTCCAGTACCCTTGAATACCCGGTGTAGTGAATCCCATAGCTTGCGGTGCCTTTCAAATAGCGCATAACTCTCTCAAGCGCATGCCAATGATCATCTCCCGGTTTTGACACAAATCGACTCAGCTTGCTCACAGCAAAAGAGATGTCAGGCCTCGTGGCACTCGCCAAATACATAAGCGAGCCAATAATCTGAGAATACCTTAGTTGATCTCTAGCAATCCGTCGGTTCTTTGGAAGCAACACATTAGCATCATATGGAGTTGGAGAAGGCGTGCAGTCGCTATACCCAAAACGACTCAAGACCTTTTCCACATAATGAGGCTGAAGCAGTGTGATCCCACCATTCTCATCTCTCAACAGCTTGATGTTTAAGATAACATCAGCTACTTCTAGATCCTTAATCTCAAAACAGCAAGATAAGAAATCATTAACCTCCTTGATTAAATCAAGTTTGGTTCCAAAGACCAGTATGTCGTCGACATACAGACAGAGAATAACTCCTTTGCCCCCACCATAGCGATAGTACACGCACTTGTCACCATCGTTTACTACAAAGCCGGCAGCAGTTAATATTCTTTCGAACTTCTCATGCCACTCCTTAGGAGCTTGTTTAAGGCCATATAAAGACTTTAATAACTTGCACACCTTTCCTTCCTGATCAGGTACTACAAAACTATCTGGCTGATCCATATAAATTTCCTCCTTCAACTCTCCATTGAGGAAAGCTGTCTTAACGTCCATTTGATGAACGAGAAGACCATGTGAGGCAGCCAGTGATAGTAGCACCCGAATTGTGGTCAGTCTAGCCACGGGTGAGTAAGTATCAAAGAAGTCTTCACCTTCTATCTGGGTATAACCCTTGGCCATAGCCGTGCCTTGTACTTTTCAATCATACCATCAGGTCTAAGCTTCTTCTTGAACACCCACTTACATCCTATAGGTTTGCACCCATAAGGACGGTCAGTGATGTCCCAGGTACCGTTAGCTAAGATGGAATCCATCTCGCTACGTACAGCTTCCTTCCAGTAGTCAGCATCAGGAGATGCATAGGCTTCTGAAATAGTCCTGGGTGTGTCATCCACGAGGTACACAATGAAATCATCACCAAAGGACTTTGCAGTCCTCTGTCTCTTACTCCTCACAGGAGTTCCATTGTCACCCTCAACAGGATTCTCAACGTGTTCCATTGCAATGGTGGGTTCAGGAATTACCGTGAATTCCTCACTAGATAGAGTAGGTATCTCCTGATATGATGAACTCGACATATCCTTCATAGGAAATATGTCCTCAAAGAAAGTTTTATCATTCGACTCCATAATCGTACCAACATGCATGTCGGATACCTCTGATTTTATTATTAAAAATATATAGCCAATGCTATGAAAAGCATGGCCCAGAAGAACACAATCCATGGTTTTTGGTCCAAGCTTGCGCTTCTTAGGAATTGGTATATTGACTTTCGCCAAACAACCCCAAGTACGTAGGTAAGAGAGTTTCGATCTTTTCC